GCCAGTATAGATAGTATATCGACTGTAACTACACAAAACCGTTATGAAAACTTGACTTCCTATATACCATTTGATGTATCTCAACGAGCTCTACAATACTGTATAAAAATGAAATCGATTCAAGAAAATTTTTTTATCCGGCGGGGTCCTTTAGTATGATCTGATGCAAGATTTCAGAGCGAAGATTTTTTGTCTGATGCTTATAAGATTTCGTTCGGATTGCAAGATCTTACGTCAGATTTTTCGACCTGGGCATAAGTGATGGAAAAAAAACAATCAGAACATATTTATGTACTTCTAGTTGTGATATTTCACTTTATCTCGAATTGAAACGCTTACAAGAGTTTGATCAAAATGATTTGAAAAGATATTATGAAGCTATTGATAAAAGTATCGATACCAAAACAGAATTTGAAGGTAATCAATAATCTAACTGGATTATTTGTTTTTCGAATATTTAAATTTAGATTTTCATGATGTTTATCTCGTCTTGCGTTGTCAAATCAATGGTAAACCGGAAGAGATTCCATGTAATAATGCTCAACCTATTGTATGCTAATTAAATATTTATAGTTTTCTTTTTTTTTTATTTCTATTAACTTTCCTATTCTCTACAGCATTTACCTAAACTTATTTCAAATCCATGGACACGTGACAACACCTTGACTCGTTTTAGGCACGAAACTTCTTCTTGTTACTTTATAAGTGAGCATTATTTATGTTTTGATTATTCTCAGATACGATGCAGAAAATCGTGAAAGTTCTGTTACATGTGAAATGAAGGTAACTGTTCTATTCATCTTGTAAACATCTATTCATGTCATTATGTTCATGAAAATAGCTGCGCAGTGATAGTATTGCTTATTTAAATTCGTACAAAATCGTTCTTTGTTTAACGACTAATACAGTACCACCACGAATGGATTATCATGCCATAAGATGGGCTTGTAAAGTAAATAGCACAAACGTTGTTTACCTAAAAACTACGTAGAGATCACTTTTTCTTCTTTTCCCATCCATTTAGATTAAACCTAGAACATCGAAAAGAAAACAATCTCAAGCACTTACAGATAAAGAATCACTATATTGGTTGCACCATCCAACTGGCATTGTTATTGCGCATGTTCACGGAACTGAACTAAGATTCACGTAAATTCTCTTGAATTCAATTTTTATTTTTATTGTGACATTATCATTTTTTTGAACACATAGTCCTGCACTACTTCAATCACCCGACAATGTAAATTTTGTACGTTCTGTTTATGAACCTTCTGGCTTTCGATGCACATTAGAAAATTCGTAAGTTCAATTAATTAAATTTTTAAGATAATGATCGAATTTTTTCATCATAGAAGTAGTGTTAATAGTTCATTCACTATAGCAGTAATTAAAGCGGTAGATTATCGAACTCATATGATAGCTCGTAGAACAAATGAGAATATTTTACGATATTTACCATTCAATGAATTGCGAGATGTTGACAGAGATTTAACAGCAGGATCCGAACACATTAGTGCAAGTCTTAAAGCTCACAGTAAGATATTTATTTGTATATGTATAAATGAAGATTTTTGTTTTTGTTTTATTTTGATAGGAGATGAAGTTAATAAACAATTGATTTTAAGCGATGAAAATGACACGGGAACTTATAGTCAATCTCATGTTCGACTTTATGCTGCGGCTTATACTAATGATGATGTTCTCTTGACAGAAACATTACATCCACCGATACGAAATAGTAAAGTGTATGATCCATTACGTATTCAAAAAATAGTTCAACCTAAAAATGAGTTATGTGCAAATGATTTGGTATATGTCTATTATAATCATGCTTGCAATGGATCAAATGCAGAAAACGGTCCATGTCTATATGATTTTGAGTTATGTTTTGCACCTGCATCGAATATTTTGAACGAGAATGACATCTTACGATTATTCGATAAACCACACATGTGTATCAGAGCTTCTTACGTTACTGATTGTCCAGTAAGTGTTTTGAATAGAGGGTGAACCCATGGAGACCCATCCACTTTTCTGGAAAGGCTTTCTTTCGATTTTTTTCAGCCGAAACTTCCGATATGCTGTAGAAAACCCTTTTGATGAAAAAAAAATATGACCCTGCTAGCGAAAAATATCGAGTTCTGGTTGATTTTTTCGGAACGACTATGGTGTATTGTCAGACAAAGGGAAAACGTCAGGATAACATCTGAAACTTCTCTAAAATATCTTTTTCAGAATTTTTTCATGCTGAAAAATATGAAAGCTATTGAGAAACACTTTAGATGGAAACAACATTAGACCATTCCTATTGAAAGTCTTGAGTTCTGAGTCATTTCTTCTGAAAATAGCGACAACTGTCGTTTTTCATACTGAGTGACACTAATTTATTTGAAGGATTTTTGTTCCTTTCTCAAAGAAACAACCTTGATCATGCTTTGCTCTTAGGACGGCGTCGAGCTAATGAGTTCGCCCACGTAACTCGAGAGAAACGGCATCAGATCGTCTCACGGAAGTAAAACCGCAGAATCAAAAGGGACAACATACTGCCGAATGATAAACTTTCGATCTCGTTGTAAGGACATCTTTAAATGTAAAGTCTTATGTATCAGAGATGTCCACAGGGTGATTTTTGTGCCCTGTCCTGCCCTGCCCTGTTGAAAAAATGCAAAAATTTAAAATGTACCCTGCTGAACTGGCATACGGAGAATATCTTTGGATCGGATCCGAGTATTTCCTGAATGGATTCGTTCCGAACAGCTTTCCAAAAAAGACAAAATACTTCTGAAGCAGAATATGACAGGATCTATCCAGCCGTATATGAATTCTACTGAAAAACTACCTGACAAAAAGCTAAAATCCAGAAAACACCATACGAAACTAAACCAATTTTGGTAAAATCCATAGTGATTCGCCCAGAAGAACGTTACAATGATTCATATTATTTTTATGTAGATCTTGCCGTACTCTATCGATTAGACACCTTTTGAGCTCGATTTAACATTCTCGACCCATAGAAAAATTAGATCCACATTCCTAAGATTTTTGCTAAATCCTTTCGTGGTTGCGCAATAGCAACTGACCGAGGTAGTCACGGTGCTTTCTAAACAGATTTTCACCTACTCTATCGACTGGAAGCCACTGCGACTATGTTGAAAAATTCTTTCTAGCCAATCGCCACGGGATTTAGCAAAATTGGCTGAGCTTTGTATGGCTTTTTTATGGCTTTTGTGGCTTTCAGTTTTTTAGGAAGATTTTGAATGCGATTGGTATCCGGGCTGAATAGAGCTCACCGGCTTATACTTGGAAAGTAGTTTGTCCTAGTTCGGTAGTCCTTTGGAGTAATTCATTCTGAAAATATTCGAATTTTCCATTCTTATTGAAGATATCCTACGTCTTTTATGGTCACTATTTATAATTATCTTGATTCTACCGTGTTCATACGGTGGTCAATATAAATCGGAAGTTCTGCTTACCAGTTGCTGTTGCTCTCTGGAGTCTATTCTTTATTTTTGATACTTCGAAACTAAAAGTATTTCTTCAAAGCTGAAATTCAAACAACGGACTTTTTACCCTGCAGGGTACGGTCCCACTCTGTCCTGCCCTGCAATTTGCCCTGGTCTACCCTGCCCTGTGGGCATCTCTGCTATGTACAAATATCGTGACTTCAGACGAGTAAGACTACGAGATGACTCATCGGATATTGGAAAGGGTCGATTACCAGTTAGTACTTTTTCTGATTTCTTTACAAACTTGTATCTCAATGCCCAAACGAAAATACTGTGAACATCCGACAAAACATGCAAACTCTACTCGTGTACACAAAGGAGTAGTGAATGTATCGCCACATCTATCTATGTTTTTGATTTCTCGATATGATGCGACTGACGGCCTAATACGCTGGTTATGTCCGAGATGTCATGCCTTTGAATGGAAGGAAATGATGACTCGTTCATCAATGAAATCAAGCGATACTGAGAGCCCCAATGAAGATGAAGCCATGGTAGACGACTCTTCTGTTCATGACGGGTGTGGGTGAAGCAGTTAGAATAGCAGCACCCACACTCACACCCACCCTTCAGCATGAAAAAATTCTGAAAAAGATATTTCAGAAAAGTTTCAGGTGTTATCCTGGCGTTTTCCCTTTGTCTTATAATACACCATAGGCGTTCCGAAAAAAATCAACCAAAACTCGATATTTTCCGCTAGCCGAGTCACATTTTGTTTTCATCAAAAGTGTTTTCTACAGTCGGCTGAAAAAAATCGAAAAAAAAAACTTTTCAAAAAGTGGATGGGTCTCCATGGATTCACCCTAGATTGAAATGTTCGAAAAAATAACCCACATATGCATTCACTAATTTACAGACGATTATTTATATATATATATATATTAACATTAAATTAATCTCAACATTAAATCTTCACTATTTACCGAGTTACAATTATGTTTCTAAAAGGAAAATAATTTATGCTAGTAGATATATTTAACATTTTTATCATCTATTTTATCAAAAACTACCAGCAGCATGTAACTAATGTGTTGTCATTGTAGGCTCTATTACAGTTTAAAATACTAGACGATCCTACTCATAATGAATATCGAACATATATTCGTCTTCGCCACGCAAAATCTAAAGATTATAATCCAAGTCCTATAGCACTAATTGATGGCAATCCATGGAAATATTATGCAGATCCAATGTCAGTTGTAGATAGTTAGTATAATTTGATTTATCAGAAATAACTTCTCATATATTGTCGTTTGTCAAAGTGTTTTTAGGTGATGATTTAAATGAATTGGTTCATAAATCGGTATGAAACAATTTTTAACGGTGCAAGTAGAATAAATGGCAATCTTAATATTTTTCATGATAGAGCAAAAACTATTAGTCGAATAATTCCATTGATGCAATTGATTTCTTTACCTAAATCTCTATTAATACACGATTTCTAATTCTTGAAATCATCTTTTTTTCTTCACATTTATTGATTCCTCTCTAAGATTTAAAGCTTCTCTTTACAAATAGAAGAGTCAAACTGATTTATTTGTTTATGATAGAATACTCTTTATTGTTCGATACATTTGCAACTGTTATTATGGCTACAAATAGATTTCTATGAGGTCTTGAATAGTGGTATCATTTTTGCTCGATTTTATCTTTCGGTAACAGAAAAAATTTTCCTGTCACAGTAAAAGAAAAACAATCATGTAGAACGGTCATAAATTTTAAGCAATCAATTATTGACTCTACCTTAATCTAGCCATGTCGAAGTTTTCGTCCCTTGCTTATATAATCACCCATATTCTTGTGTTAGTTTTCTAAGGCTAACTACTATAAAGTGAATTGTTCTACTGCTAGTTTCAAAATTCATAGATTTGAATTAAGAGAATATGCATTAAAACTTTTCGATTGACATTAGATTAATTGCTTGTAGTATGTATCGAAGTTAGTCTTGAAGAATGCGCTCCATAAAGATGCTACATAATTTAGTATAAATATTGATGTTGCCATTTATTTTACGTCAAATATCATTTTTACTAAAATTTATAAGCTCGATATTTTATTTTCATAGGAAACTGCTCCAACCACTGAGTGCGATACCATTCTGGAAACACAACCTTTCCATTCAGCTATACCATTGCTAAATCCTAGTATTATTTCAGCTGATGTAAGTTGCAATAGTTCTCATTGATTTAATACTCTCATCGAATCTTAGTTGTAACGATAGTTTACATTCTCGTCGTTCGTAATTCATCATTTTTCCTTTTTGTTTGTGGCCACTGTAGGCCTTGTAATAAAGCATATTTGTTGAGTAGATTTTCGGCGTCCAGATATTCTTTTAAAACGTGTAAAAACATTAAGAAATCATATTTATCTTAGAGAAATAGCGAAAATCAGAGTGTTTCAGATAGTTTTCATATGAAAAATTTTGTGATGCTCCAGTTTGTTGACATTGTACGACCATATCGAGTTGATTTGTTTTCACATGCACTAAATACTATTTAGGAAATGTGTATTCTTCATAGTTTCATAAAATACTAATCCCAGGACAGTTAATTTTTCATAGACAAAATATCTTGGTCTCAAAATTGTAAGATTAGTTTTATGGTAACTTCTATATCTACACTACTCTTCATTCGAAAGACAAAACAAAACTAAATAATATCGGTAAAATAGATTTTCATTTCAAGCAAACATAGTGACTCGCACAAGCAGAGGCAATTTTATTCGATTGCAATCTCAATATTTAATAGAAAATAGTATCTACGAATCTTTCTCCCATGCTAAGTTTTACTCTATTCATCAAGATCTACATTTTTGTGAAAATTTCCTATAGAGTCATTTTCCAGGAACTCCGTATAGCAGCGCGATATTCAATACGATAATATATGATACTTTCTTTATCTCTCATTTTTTTCCTACATTCAAGGCTGATGAACATAGTAATCACTCTACTCAAACTTTGAATACACCTGATCTCGAACACGGATCAACGACGCACAAAAGATTTTTTCCTGGCGACGCCACATGATTTCTCTGGTGTTTATTTCATGGTATTTTTTTACCACAAAAACAAATAACAATAAACAACAATGGTATTAAAAAAAACAGTGTATTGATTTATTCAAGATAATTTCATTAGTTTTTTCTTGTCGTTTGTTACATCTTGAATTGTATTATTTTCATAATCAGCTCGCTTACGTTTCAATTTATCAACCTAACAAATGAACAAACAAAATAGTTGATTAAAATAATGTCGTTTTTTTTTCTTTTTATTTGTAAACTGACCTCCTGTCGTTTTTTCTTTTGAGAAAATTTGATTTTATCGTATAAGCGTTTTTGTTTCTTCGGTATTGTCATTTCAACTAAACGTCTTTCTTCATTGGCCTTACGCTTAACAATATTTGATACATTGACACTTTGTACTTGACCGGATTCAACACGCATTGCACGTTTCTATAAAACGAAAAAGAAAAACATTTGTTCTTCAATGACATAAATCTATTGCATAGACACTTACTCGTTCTTCTTTTGTGGTAATTTTTGGTGCTGTTTCTTCATTTTCGGTACGTTTTCTTTTAAGACTACCATTCAAATAAGCATTGCTATTGACGAGATCGATAGAAGGAACTTAAATAAAAAATTATAATAATTAGTATTTTTATATGAAAATAAAACAATTCGTAGACTCGACGAACATATCTTTTTTTAGCTGAAAAATATTTTATGCTGTGTTCAGTATAGCAATCATCTCTCAAAGCTGTCTACAAACGGAACCTTCTACGAAAACAATTACGGTGAGAAACTAACATATTAAATATACGTCAAAGAATTATCTGCATGAAAAACTGTTTCATACTGATATAACTCTCATATATTTGAAAGAAAAAATATGACCTTATTTCTATTCCGAAGTATCTCAAAGTTAATCTTTATTTTTTTTACGAATCAATAGAATGTCACTTGTTCAATGTACCTTCGTTAGTTGTTTGTTCTTCAATATCATTATCTGGTTTGCGTTGACCAAATCTTTCCGGTGGAACATAATCTCCCTCTTTTTCTTCAACAAATGGAGAAAGATGCGGTGGTAATACACTTCCTATCATCAAAGAAAAAAAAATCAATCAATAATCAATAAAACAATTGCCATCACTAACCTGGAAGATAATTATCTACCGGTAATAATTTTCGTGCATTAATCGAATCAAATATCCATTGTGGTTGAACATAAACTCTGTTAAAAACGAAAAAATAAATAAACATTTACCTTTACTCCAAATGAACATACCGATTAACGGCCATATCATGTAATTTTGGTCGATCGATAAGTTGATGCGTAATACTTTGATCCGATACATCATAAGATGCACCGGCACACATTGTTTTATCCCATGAAACATCGCCACCACATGCACTAAAAAGAAATCAAAACACAGAAAATTTTAAAATGCTATCGAAAAAAATATTTACCGAATAGCAAATGCAAACATTTCTCGTGGAACTTCTCGACTGATAAAAAATTTACATTTTGAAAATAAGTTTTGTAAAGTTTTTGCTTCTTCTTCTTTTTTACGAGCATCTTCATCGGCTACCGTATCACCCAACTAGAAATCAAATAGAAAGAGAAACTTTTTTAATGCAATAATAACTGTAAAAACTATATCAACAAACAAGCTGAGCAGCTTCTTGATCAATTTCAATTCTATCAACTGGATTAAGTTCTGGTTTCTTCATAATGGGTAAACCAAGTGAAGCGAGAAACTATCATAAAAGAAAAAACTTGTTGTTTCACATTTACATCCATTCTAATAAAACAAACTTCATCAGAAAATTCATCTTCAGAACAAAGTGTTGATGATGATGTTGTAGGTGTAAACGTTAGCTATAGAATAGCAAAGAAAATTTTAATGTTTCTAATACCAAAATTAAACGAATTATATTTACTTTAGGTGGATATATTAATCCATGCTCGGAATATAATTTATAATTAACAAAACCAAGAAGTGTAGTATAGAATTCAAGAAATGTTGCCATTATTTTAAAATCAACATCAGCTGGATTCTAGAACAGATATGAATGATAGGAACTCTTGAAAGAATGAAACAAAAAACGATTTACTTTATGTCCGAGTTTATGAGGAATAATCCAAGTGATTATTTCACCTCGAATTTCAGCTTGAAAATAGTAACCTTTGATCGATATGAAACATTTCTTTAATGATCCACTTGCAATAACATAATGAAGAAATTCAACCGATAAACGACGACAAAGACGAAGACGTGGTTCATAGAGTTTTTTCAACAACGGAAAATTAGCAAATAGAAACACGAGTGTTAAACAATCATCTAAATCTCTTAAAGCATCAGCAAAAGATGGATATCTAAAAAAAAATCATCATAAGAATATTATTAAAAAAAACGAAATTCTTTTCCTTACCGTTCTCGTACAACATGATCGAGTTTATAGAACGGACGGTTGTTACGTAACGCTTGTTCTCTAGTTTTTTCCTTACGTGCTCTTGCTTTTGTTAATCGTCGAAGATACGACTAAACAACAAAAAATGAATAAGATAACATCACTAATTGTGTAGATAATGACGAAATTTCTTTGTGATTCAAACTTAGAATTCAATCATCGATAGATATAGAAGTGTCCATCTTTCTAGGCTTAACCGTTATGGTTTCTACTTCATAGTCACATGACTCATTGAAAGAGTGGAACTTACTTTCATTTGACGAAATTTATCGATGATCGGTTCATGTGTTAAAAAACGTATGTCTTTTGCCAAATAATACGTTTTATTTGCTAGACGACCACGATTTGCTTTACGTCGATTCTTTGGTTCAACTGGATAGATACCTTTGAGAATACATAATCGTCTAGATAAAAACGAATATAGAACGTTGCATTAGAAGAATATTTTCTTACCGAAAATCAGAAAGAGTCAATTGCAATTTGCGCAAAGCTTGGTTACGACTGATGTAATTCACAGCCGCACCTTTTTTGTACTAAAATTAAAAAATAAAATGAAGATTAATATTATAATGATTAAATTCATAAAATATGGAGTTTTGTTTTCGATTAGAAAATGGTGAGCTTAGTATTTTTTTTAATGTCTATGAAACAAATCTAAGAGTACTTACTTTTTTCTGCATTTTCGTCATAATAATTCAGATTTCTTAACGATGTTAAATATATCAATCTGAAAAATATGTTATCTATTTGAATTACTGTAAAGAAAAATATTTTTCGTCGTTATATAGTTCTTTCGGGAAACTTGGGAAAAAAAGATTGACAATGCAGAAATTGAATGACTAGTTTTTTCTATTCAATTCATTACTATTCTTTTGATCTTTCGTACTAGATATTGTTTTCTGGGTCATCCGTTAAATCCTAAGTATGAAAATAAGATGTTGGAATTGAGTATCAAGCGGTGCACATAGATCTACTTATCTAGATAAAATGGTTATTTTCATACAAGTTCATGAAAAAAAAGAAAGTATAACAACGAAAATGTTCATCATTTAATAATATGCTAATACGACAACACGAAAAAAAGATTTCACTATACTTTTCTATTTCCAATAAACAAAAATAAAAGACGGACTAAAAAGTACGAACACTGTAACATGTGATTGGTTAATAAATAAACAGATAGTGTTCTTCACGCACTAGTGTCATCTGTTGATAACGGATCTGAATATTTTACACAGACTTAGAATTTAATATTGAATGTTGAATAGTACCATCATCAGCTATTTTTGTCACCCATGGTTTGTTTTCTTCCAGAATATGTGATACGGATTGAAAACTAAGAAGTTGTTCTTCGTATGCTGAAGTATCAAATTCATTTTCATCTAACATGTCGTCGTCGAAATCAAGATCATCATTTATATTTACTGTGGGTGCCATAGATCGCTGTTGTTCAAATGAAGGCTTTATTGAATGCTCCTCTAATATATAAGGTAATTTTAAATTCTTATTATTTCCTGTACGATGACGATTAGTTACTGGCGATTGATTAATTATATTAGCATTATTTTCCATTGTTGGTTGCATATGTAGTTCATCGTAATTATATAAAGCACTACGACTTAGATTATAGATAAGAGATTCTAATGTACTTGATTGTGTAGTTAAATCTGTCGTTGGTTTATTCTCTGTTAAACGATGATGATTTTCTAACATGTCATTTCTTATAGCGTTGACTTTTTCATAAATCCTTCGTAAAAAACGTCGTTTGCGTGCTGCATGTACTAGCTGTAAAATACATAACATTCCTACTACTATTCCATATTGCGTGAGAAGAAAGACAAACGTATTTCCGTATTCATCGGAATCAATATCATGATGTCCATATTTTTGAAAATTAAAAATAACATCTTGACAAAATATATGATTAGGATTTTCCATGAATTTCGATGTATACAATAATAAGCATACTGTATGTCGGCCATGCTTTATATTATGTAAATATAGTGTTAATGTTGAATTAATTATTTCACTGTGTTCGTCAAATGTTCGAATTTGATTAGTGCGCGTATGCCGAACAAGAAAACGCGTTGAAACAATTGATTCTAGCAAGGATTCAGACAATTGAAAATGAACTCGTATAGTATTTTTATCGACAAAAGTCCACGAGCTTCGATACGATTCTGCGTTAAAATAATGAGAGTTAATTTGAGTGCGATTGCGATCTGTTTTCATCTTATGTTGTTTCATTAATATTACCGAATTATCAATTGATAAATTGGAAGATAGAAGAGTTAAATTCCTATGAGATCGACTACTATGAATATTCAATGAGGGCGGAGCAAGTACAACAAAGATTGACCATAAAAGAAGCCAAATTGTTAGTGAAATCATTTTTGAAGAAATTCGAGAGTCCCGATTCTTGTATAATGGAATAGAAAGGAAACCAAATGTTGTACTATTTATAAACGTTACACGGTCGTAATCATGCACAGAACTAATGTAAAAACATTTTTTTTGTTTTTCGTTCTTACTTCTCGAGCAACGGATGGAAGATTTCTCTTTTACCCCCTCGATATTGTCATGCAGCTGATGCTTCCATTGACATCAAATAATAAAAGCACGATTTATTCAAAAATTTCCCAAGAAAGAAAAAAAGACAGAAAATTGCTCGCTGATTATTTCCTTTTGAAGCTTTTTTTTCCTTCGAAACTCTTCAAAGGAATGTGATGGAAGAAGATGAAATATACTATTGATTAATGATCAACTAGCACACATTTCTATAGAATTTATTTTATGTCTTAGAATTGTACTTTATTTAATAGGAAAAAAACAATCACAAATGCCAAGTAGAACATAAAAGAAGAAACAACAAGTAATTAACGTTGAAAGTCTGTGAAAAAGTCCATGAATATATACATACACACACATATATATATAAATGCATAATACACAAGTGAAAGAGCTTAACTTCTTATTTCTTATTTCACGAATTGAATGTGTTGCATCTTGATCTCCATATGTTTTATTTTAATGAGTTCTATTTCATCTTTACCTATGATGACGAACAATAAATTTTATCATTATCAACGAATTCGATCTTTAGAAAAAATCGATCAAATCGATCATGTTAATCATAATCAAGTCAATCTCAATGAATCTTCAACAGATGAGCATAACGTTTGTGCAGCACAGCCGTTTAATATTGATATTCCAAAAATACTGTCCAATAGTGACTCTAATCCGCAACAAAATAGTTCAGCAACCATAACAACTATTGATATAACTCGATTTATATCGTCTTGGGAACGAACAAGCAGAAAAGATGAGCATCATCATTATGATAATAATTCGCCAGAATTAAATTCATTTCAAATTACATTTACTATTCCTTATGAAATACAAAAGGAATCTATTTATAATAAAACAGTATATATTATAGATGCAACACATAATCAATTATTAGCATCGATAACTGATATTTGCATCAATGAGTCATCATTTATTATTAATTATTCAACTACAAAGCCATTACCACATAATATTTGTTTATATCTTGTATTAAATGTGACATCATTAATGACTCTTCGTGACATCGTTTTTTGTCGTACTATTGATGATTCCTACATGAGTCCATCGCCATCGAATATCAGCGAAACCGGTCATGTCGTTGGACCAAGTCAATTTTTTATTCTTTCACAATGTATAATTATTTTTATCATGATGTTTATTATATATGCAGTACAAACAGCAAGACAAAAAAGTCTTGTCAATCGTGTTGGTCAACGATTTATTCGTAGTCGACCCTATATTGCTGTATTTGGTAGTAGACCATCTGTACATGTACAGAATAATACTGGAAGTGTTTCAGCGGACCCAGCAACAACACTCGAAAGTGGCTTAAATCATCTTATTTTTCAATGTCATTTGTCGTCTTTGGTTAATCATCAACTACCTGCACCTATCGAAGAACAAATACTATCTGCAACTGATTTAACGTCAACAAGTTATGATCGACGTGCAACACGAACTTTATTAAGTCGTGATTTAATTAATGTCAAAGAGTTTACCAAAAGAATGAGTGCAGCCAATGAAAGTTTCAACGATACAGAATTATAAATAGTTCTATGAAAGTGATTCAATAGAAAATAATACATATTTACCAATAAATATAAGTGCAAAAATTGTTGTAAATTGCATCGAAAATTTAATACATGTGGCTTCAAAATTAGGATAACGAGAGAATTAAATCAACCATCGTATACTACAGTTGTTTGATGTAGGAGGACAGACTAAATCAACCATTCAGTATCTTACTACCGACAGTGCTGAAACGTTGAATATTAAATTATACGATAGATTTTCACATCTAAATGAAAATGACTCGTGTTGTTTCAATGAAGAAAATAAATTTAGATATAACTTTTTTCAATCGTCTTTCTAGCGTACTTTTCATTCCATATTTAAGTTTCATTATTAAATATTCAATTGCAAATGATAAATTTTTGAATGACAAATAGTCTATTCAAAATATTTGAGTTTTTTTCTTAATATTCAAAACTTTTTATACACATACATCCAAAACATAAAAATACAATGTCTTTAGTCGGCTAATTTAGAAACATCTTCATAAGGTATATTGTCAAGTCGAATGCCATTCATTGCACCCTGAAAAAAAGAAAACCTTTCGAAAATTATAAACACACAAATATCAAGCTAACCTTCGTTATAGTAACATCGATAGAAAATGCATCTTGATGAATATCTTCTAGTATTGCTTCTTGACCACGATAGGCACCATTGACAAGCAAGACTTTCTTTCCTAAATAAAACAATGAAATTTGTTTAACTATTGTCTATCATTTAGATATTTACCAATCGCTGGTATAACAGTTTCAACATGAGCTTGATCAATACGAATTTTATCATTTGTATCTATCATTTTTATTATTGCCTGATAACGATTTTCAACTTTTGTTATAATTCCTTTCTTTTTATAATATTTTTCGCCCATTTTCATTGTGATGATTTTAACAACAATATTCTAGAGAAAATAAAATTGAATCTCTTTTTTTTTTATAAGAAAGATAATATGCGTACTTCATGTAACCAATAATCTTTACGATTTTTCTTTTCTTTCATTTTTTCTTCCTCCTACAATATATGACTGATATTATGTACGAATTAAAAGCAGAAGAAATTATTTACCTCTCGCACTTCTTCAAGTGCTGATTTTTTCGGTTTTGCTGAGACTGGAAATGGCTTTTTGAAAACGGACGTTTCGATGGTAGTTTCTGGTTTAGATTTTTTCACTTCAGGCTCATCCGGAGTCTCATCAGTTGAACTTGTTCTTTTCTTACTAACTACAGCTAATACAGATGGTCTAAATCAAATCGAAAAATATTAGAACAAAGAACAGTAAAACGCTTACTGTAATGTCTTTTTCTTTTCTGCGACTACAATTTGATTGAATGTTACTTGTACTAGAGAAAACAAAAATGATGAAATAAAAATATATCAAGATTTAATATTAGCCTATCGAATACCTTTTTCATTTTCATCTTCACGAACAAATTCAGTAAATACAGCTTCAGGTGGTTCAATACCTCTATCCTTATCTCTTTTAATCTAAAGATAAACATTCAAAATAACAGAAAATGATTCTTTCCTAACGAACTTGTTCAGCAATTAATTTCTGTCGTCGTTGTTCATCATCTAAGTCCATTTTTTCTTTTCGTTCACTCTCCATTTCACGTCGTACTGTATCAGGATCTTTATCAATTAATGTTACATACCATCCTCTCTCTGTTTGTTCAATTTCACACAGTCCTAAACATGAAAACAAATATTTGATGGAAGAATTTTGACATCTTATTTAATTCTTTTACCTTGACTTCCCAGCCAACGGACATATCCTGCTAGGGCGACCCATCGAGTAGCATTCATGTGAATATGATCGCGCTCCTTAATATATTCGCAATAAACGGTATTGGCGAGAACGCGTTTTGTGCCGAATGAACGACGTAGTGTACTGAAAAATCCACTATGGAATTCACTATAAAATTTAAAAAACAAAGCGCAATTTATATTAAATAACAGAAATAAAATTTCTATTTATTTACTTAGAATAATTCGCGATATATTTGCCTGAATTTTCGCCGACAAGAATTAATTGTCGTTGATGCGATTCACTTTGAATATGACATTTAAATCCGTTCTAAAAAGAAATACAGATCAAACACAAATAAATAGTAAATCAATAAATTTTCATTAGAAGAATCTAATTTCAGATATGTCAAAGTAGAATTCGATGAAGTGAAAACATTGAGATTTTCTCTTGCAGAAAGAATGACAATATAGAAATAAAATAGAAAACAATCAATTACCTCATCACGACATTGTTTCTCACATGACTGACAATACCATCTTAATTTCTGTAGACCTTTTGCTTTAATTCGATTACCAATTGCTTTTGGCGTAAGAAATCCGCCGTCTTTACCCATGATTAATTTGTTATTAAATAATCTAAAAAACAAATCTATATTTTTTATTTTGACTAAAAAACGAAACAGACAAAAATATGTTTTTTATTCAGTCGTTTTTTTTTAATTTAGTTCTTTGATGTAAATTAAATTGATACAAATAAAAACATCCAAAAAGCATAGCGAAATCATCAACAATATAATCTATTAATAACCAAAAATTTGTGCTAGATTGAGCTGTCCGATAAAGTATACATAAGTCCAAGATAATATTCGAACAAATTAAATAAGATCCTAATTGACATGCTTGTATTGTAAATATATCTAAGCAAAAGCCACCAGAAACTAAAAAACAAGCAATTGCATGTCCACGAATAATTAATGTCCAAAAATAACTATCAAATAATTTTGTTTCATCGTTTGACCACCAAAGAACATAAGCATTTAGAACGAAATAAAAAACAATAAAATATGATGATAAACGACGTAAAATTGATCGAAATGAAATACTCGTAGTATGTAAACTAGCGACAAAGAAAAATATTCCGATCGTACCAAGTGAATGAATAATAATACGAATCTAAAGTAAAATATTGATAAATGCTTTTGTTGTTGTTTCTTATAGCTGTTTAACAGCAGTACTGAGATATTACTTAAAATGTGTAAAAATAAATGTTTCCTTACTTTTAACCAAGCAGTCAATTGTTGAAGTATATTCGAATAGAATAAATAACATGTACACCCGAGTCCAACAATATGCGGTAAAAATCCAAGTGCATGTCGAAATTTGCGATCACTAACAAACATACCGCTTAAAAAATGGAATACAATGAGAAAATATACAATTGTAACATAATGAGAATCTGTGTAACTACAACGGAAAAAGTAAATAGAAAATATTAAAAAGATATTATCATCATTTATGATCGTACTCTTTTTTTGTATTTGCAGATACTTGCCCAATGATTATTGGCAAGGAAAAACTTTTCCAAAATGGATGTCGAATAAGATATTGTGTTGCGATGATTTTACTCCAAAATCGCAAGTCTTTTTTAGGCGATGAATTTGATGGAATGTTTGTAGAGCTATACAAGAAGAAAAAAATCAAAGTAAGTGAAACAAAGAGAAGCATACCTAGTCGATTCTGCCATGTTTTAATGAACGAAAATCTGAAAATCAAAAAAGACAAGACAAACGAATGGTTTTTTGTCCCTAACAAAAATTTTATTTCCTAATGTCCGAATTTTTCTTTTTCTGAGCTAACAATTTTTTTCATTGTATTATCATATGGATTAAACAATCGTGGATCATCGAGATAAACTGTTTCTTTCCATTTATATGGCATTAAATTGAAACGGCGTGCTTTCAAAACGGCTTTTTCAAGTTCGACTTGTTTAAAATAACATAAACCAGTTGTACGTTGATCAAAAACAAAACCCGTTTGTGGCGAAACAAATTGACTCAATAATTTCGTATTACGAAAATCAATTTTAAGATTATGCACGCAAACGATACATTTATGTGGTGATGGTAAATAAGGATCATTCATTGGTTTAGGTCGATCATCATTCGGATCATATTTCACGTCAGATTCAATTCTTGTAAAAGTTGCCGATGATGGACAAGTTTTGGAATCTCCATCAGATGATACTACAGATTTTCGTTTCGGTGGTCCTACAAGATATTGCTCACGTCGTTTGCGTTGGCGTTCATTTCGACGAGATTCATATTGAACCCATTCATCTATGAGACGGAATATTATTTACAATAATAAACAATTTAAACTTATGTTACCATCTTTTTCATAAACATCTGTTGTTAAAAAGACTGATGTGTTCACTTTATTAGTGTATTCATCAATATCACCCCAGTCAATTGATCGTTTTGAAGATAGATGAATAGGACGAACTGATGTACGAGATAGGAATGAAATCAAAGGACGAAAACGACAGACTTGGTTCATTCTAATACTCTTACACAAATATATATATATATATGATATTACTGAAAGATTTTTCACATTGATGCTTTTTATGAATCATATTGTGTAGTACCTTCGAACAATAGCATAAAGTTTATGTAGATGTCACTATATCTAGAGTGTACTACTCGTCTGTAGCGATTGTCAATCGAAATATATCTTCGTTTACTACAAGCGGTATGCTTCTGAAAAAAGAATTCCTAATATTGGAAGTTTTAGTTAGATATGTTCCATAGAAAAAAGTTGCAAGTATAAACTTGTAATCTTTTGATGACTAGCATATAATTCTAGATTATTTCATTGTGAACGAACCATTCATCATTGCACACATTAAATAAAAAAATATTTCCTTTTTTTTCTTTGATTTGAAACACTTATGAATACCATCACTAGTTGCCGAGAGATGTTGATCGTATTTTTTTTGCATTTCAATGTCAATGCTGAATGAGAACAAATATTCGAAGAAAAAAACAAACAAACTGAATTTATCACTTCTTCGATCAAATGATGACCAATGAAAGAGCAACTAAAAGTCTGAAGTATTTCGACGACATTGTGTTGTAGCTGTATCTTGAATAAGAATAATCTAAGCATCTGTCAAGAGTTTCTATCAATAGTATTCAGCCATTAACAAGTCATTTGTTTTTCTAGGCAGAAAGTACGCAGAACCATCTTTGTGCGGAAATACCGCTCGATCAACTTTGCAAGAGAAAAATCAGTCTATTTCAAAAGCAAACATTGAGAAATGTACTATACTCTGCGAGAGTCTTGGATCCGTCAGTATCTAAGTTATTGTTGAGTCATGAAAATTGCATTTACAAGCCATCATATGCTAATATTTTATACTATAACAAATCTCAATGAAATAATATGATTCTTTAATGTACTAATTTCACATCTCAAATAAAGTATTATTATAAATGTTTCGTGCAGATTCACAACGATTTTTCAATATTGATATCTATTAACCGATTTATGCTTGTAGCATGTTGATAGAACAAAATGATCGTTATATTGAGTATTTAATTCTCGTTTCGTAAATTAAGAAGAAAATTATGTCCGTAAAAAGATTGATGTATAAATGTAAAGAATTCTTTTAAATAAGTAGAATATCGTCGAATACGTTCGATGGTCTAACAAGATAAAAATAAAAAAGAATTTTTCTTTGAGAGAGAAGAAAATTAAAATTTTACGTTGTATTCGAAGTCATGAGCGATTGTGTTTGTTTTTGCCAATTAACATAGATCATACCTTCTCTTAATCCATTTTTGCTAATATGGCATGCATTACAAAGATATTCATTAGTTATTGGCTGCTGGCGAACCCACGGAGTCAATGGTGACGAGCATTGTGCTAAAGAAGAAAATAGTAATAAAATAATATCTATTCATAACTCTCATGAAGTAATCAGCTTACCACACGTCCAACAATGTCGATGATACTTGCGACCAGCTTGAAGGATACCTTCGCGGGCTAATAAAGATCGACCACACTTTGGACAAATCATTTGTACGAATGAATTTTAAATAAATATATATATATAAATCTGCACACTACTCGATTAATCGCTTATTGTTATTGAAATAAGGAAGAAAAGTGGCGTTGCCGTCGTCATCATCGTTGTAATGATTGAAAGAAACAGAAACAGAAACAGAAAGCAGCACAGATGGTTACAATTCCAAGCATACTTACACCGAGACGAAAAGACGGTATTCTTTTTCTTCAATTCTTATTTTATTAGTGTCTCGTATCGGGCTAATAAACAAACATGAGCAGCAACAATACTCGTACTTGATCAAAAAAAAAGAGAAGTATACGCAAGCACCGTCGTGCGCACACAATTGCTCTTATGATGCTTCAATGTTATGAAATTTGCAGAAGAAATTTTTTTATACCGACCTAAGATAAATGCACATGAAAAGGTAAAAGTACATTTATTCCCTTTCATTGAGTTCTATATTCCATTATAGACACGAAAACGATTTTCAATTGCACTAACGTTGGGATTCATGTATAGAAGACATGCATTAACTAAATTAATTGATGAGAATTTGGATGTGCGTGGATTGCACTTGTATTGCGCCGTTTGAAGAAAAAGAATTCAGCTAGAAATAATTCTACTCGAATAATCATTAGAGCCTTATAGTTTGCATATTTAAACAAGTATTGTCGCCAACTGTCTGTTTTGTCGTCTAGAAATGAAAAGCTTCTCAAGTAGTTTATGTTCTGACATTTCTCAGCCAGTATGTTTTTGACATCTTACATAAATGGAATTGCTGCGAAAACGTATATTTAATGTGGAGGACGATAGTTAAGAAGCTAAAATATTTAGATTTATGTGTGATAACAAACGAAACTGACATTTGACTAGTCAAAACATCGAATTTTAGGAATACTTTGAAGGATCATGATGAAAACGATCATTTTGCCGCTACTTCAAGTACAGTCAGATGTTTAGGCTGTTGTAGGAAGATTACAGGTGTCATCAAATTAATTGTTAGAATATCATCAAAAGTTGTGAATTGAAAATAATTATCTTTCTCTGAAAAACTTAGAAAAATTTGTCGGCACTGAAGCTTCCCGTTCTTCTCTCTTTCTTACTTTTTTTATTTGTTTCAAAACTTACTGATAAGAAGATCAACTTTACCAAAAGTTCTCTAGCACTTTAAGCTATCGAATATTAAAAAAAAGACCTTACTTTTTAATTGATTTTAGAAGCTATTCTTGGGATTAAAAATGTATTTTTAGTGTTTCTAGGCTATTTTTACAAGATTTAATGACAATATTGAATCAACTAAGAAGTACTTCAACACAAAAATTTTTTAAGTCAAAGGAGTGAAGTGTAGACATGTGTCTTTCATTATTTGTAATGCGACGGTGTAACACCAACCAGAGACCGTCATAGGGCACTTTTTCTGCCTTGCCCTGCCCTGTCGCTCTGATTTACATTGCCTTTGTGGCGATATTGACGGCACGCTTTGATTATTCTCCTTCATCGTCCTTCTCTTCTCTTTCCATCGTTCTAATATCTCTCCCTTCTATCTCTCTCCTATATATATACGTGTGTTATGTATGAAGTTGTCACACTCTGGATATGTGAAGAAGCGAATATACATAATTGCCGAGAGTGGCGGTAAGTTAAATCACCTCTATCCAGTTTGTCATTAACATATCTACCTAGATAGGGTCCCAGATTTATCGTTACAGCCCTGACCTTCTCTGTCAATACCACATCAAACATTTTTTTGCCCTGTCCTGCCCTCAGGGCAGAGCGCCTTGAAGAATTTCTGATTTAATAAGTGATTCAAGTCTTTAGAAAAATGTTTAATTCTGTTATATTATATTCGCAGCATCTGACTTAATCAAATTATCTTTTGTTAGGAAAAGTGAAGTCTGAAAAACAAATATTGTACCGGATATATTTCTCCAACACGAGTCTGAGAAAGCCTGAAATCAAACACCTCTAAAGTTCTTGCAACTTTACCATGGAGTAGTGCCATTTTTTTTTTTATATTACACAAGAAGGGAGAGAGCATGCTTAATAACGATTTTTGTAGTACAATTAGTTCTCTTTCTAATGGTGTGTTGGAAGGAAAATTATTCTTGATCTTTTTATCGATAAATTAATTTTTCTCGACGAGGCTAAGCATTTTTGGTTGTTCTCGCTATTTGGCCGTTTTATTGCGATAAAAAATATTTCTTTAATTACTTTTTTCATTTTGAAGTTCCATGCCTCTATATAATTATACCAAAAGAACGCAAAAAACAGTCTAACTCACGCGTGCTTTTTGGAGGTAGTGGCTGATATTTTTGTAAACTGATGGTTATTGCGAATGGTTCAATTTTCCAAAAATGTTTTGTTTCAAACTTCAATTAAAGAGTCAAGAATTGATCAAGAAAAACACGCAAAGCTGATTTATGAATCGAGTTTTCAATGCGCTACATTTTGGTTGATTACTTATTCAATTTTGGCCAATATAGCTCAAAGTAATGAAGAAATACAAAGTTTTTCAAGTTGAAAAGGTGTTACAGGAACGTTTTTAACGATACTTAGTTTTTGACTTTTTCTATTTCTCAGATTCGTATTAAAAAATATACCCGCTACAAAATTTGTAGTTCAGCCATCGCTCTTTCCAACAAGACAGTTTGATTAGTTCATGAGTTGGGAATATGGTCTAGGAAGGTCGGACGTTTTTCCAAAGATTTTTGCAATGCATATTATTCTATATCCGAAAACAGAGTATATAACCTGAGGATACTTCAAAAAGATCATTCTTCTTTTCACTATTGATACTTGATTTAAATCATTTCAAAAAGACATGCTACAGGATACTGTAATATTATACTCAATCAAAAATATAGTATCAATCAGTCAAATTTAATACATATACAATGAATAACGATGACTATATTAATTGAAACAATAAAGACAGATGATGATCGGTAATGAATGGCAACAATGGTCACTAATACGTTTAGTTCATCGAATAGAAACGTGGTTAGCTTACGGCGAAGTCTCACATGACTGTACAAAAGATTGGAAATTTTCTCGAGAAAGTACATGATTTCAGAATTAGGACATAATTTGCCCTGTCCTGTGCCTGTGCCTGTTATGGTCGCCCTGCAGGACAAGCAGGCAGGGCAAAACAGAAACTTGGTCCTGTGGGACAGGGCATCAGGACTGCCCTGGGCCTGATGACGGTCTCTGATACGAACGCACCTCACCTATATCTATCTGTAGAACAGTGCCTATGCAGATACATAAATTATAAATTATATTATTGAAAAAATAACTAAAATTAAATCATTCGTTCGTAGCTACGATTTACTAAGACTTTTATAATTTTTGGTCGTACATTAGATCATACATACTGTAAAATTTAGAAACTAGTCCATAAATAGAAATCGGATGGAAGAGGGTCTATTTTAAAAACGAAGTAAATGAACCCGAGAAGATATTTTTCAATTGAACTATTGTATTTTACTTTTTGTTCGTATTTTAATTAGAAACTTAATTGATATTCAACACCAATTTTATATCTATTGAATATATTTTACTCGAATTGCATTACACTACCTAGTTTTACTAATATTTAATCTTCTTTCTTTTGATTAATACTACATTTATGACAATCCTAAACCAATACGAAGATTAATATACAAGTAAAGAAAGGTTATTTTATCTAAAGTTAAAGTTAACAATTGTAAAAGGTTACCAAATTATCGTTCTAAGGATATTATATTGAATTAAAATGCTATCCAATATGTTTTTATGTTTCTATATCGGATCAATTTGTTGTTCGTATCATACGACACACTATTGACATTGCTCTCAAAAACAACTCGACTATATGTAAGTGTCTTATCATATGATTCTTCTCATAGTCAAGAGATTTGTTAATTTGTAATCGTAGAGACTTATTTCAATTTCGAACGCTATTAATTCATTCTTTCGCAGAACGTTGCCTTATTGATTAAAAAAGGCTTCAAAAGTTTTTATTCAGTTTAAGCTTCAATTTTCAATGAGGTGAAAAGGGGTAATCTGTAAGAGATGACATGTATCGAAAAACAGAATCCCTTCATCTCACCCACACTGGTTGATGCGTGGGGGTTTTGTAAAGGTTGCAAAATTGTTTTGCGTTGAAACATTTAATCTCCGTATTAATAACAACGTATTTATATAGCTGTGGTATATCAATCGACATTGTTACGATTGAAAAACGAATATATCATCATGAGCTTTCTACCATTGTTGTTCGTCGTTTTGATCGCTTTGTTCGAGCCAATTAGCTCGGTGCCCGCTTACGAACAGTGTGCAGGTTTGGGATGGGACGGTATATTTAGAAGATGCGACGACGGTCTGGTCTGTTATGCAAGATCTGAATATTATGCAAATGTAAGCTATCTTATTTAATAAAAAATAAAAATATTCATCGATTTTTCTAGTGTCGCCAACCCAATCAATGTCCTTCATGTAAGTAGTTATTTTCGTTTCTTGTTTCAGTAGATAAAATGTGACTTCATACAATTAGCCTGGGCGTGTACGGTTGTCGACAGTGCATCAACCAAAGTTCCCCCTCCAAAAATTATACCTGTCAATGGACAATGTGACAATACAAGCTACACGATGTGTACTTCTGGAACGCTCTGTCTACAACAGACTAATACCCACTCGGAGTGTCGTACGCAATGTCCACCATCATGGTTATGTGACAGTGGGGTTCTCTCTGAGTATCAACAATGCGGAGGTACTATAAATTGAACATAACATTGCTTATAGGAATATTCATTAACTGTCTCTAATCTACATAGGTGACGGCTATACAGGATCGACTAAATGTGCGCCAGGTCTCCGTTGCTATTCTCATAGCAAGTGGTATGCTCATTGTGCGGCAACATGTCCAGGAATTGGCTGGATGTGTGAGTCTGGTTGATCGAAAAATAGTTGAACATAGACAAGCCAACATGTCATTATTGGTGTACATGTATTATTGAAAACATTTATGGAATAATTTATTAAATACAATAAATATCTATCATTTTTTCTCAATTTATGATTGTTGCTTTTATTTCGAAATATTTACTAAGAAAGAGCTGAGCTGATAAATAAGATGTCAAAAATATCAATTCGATTTCTTAATGAGAGGAAACTCAAATAGTGCTGTACTCATTTACATTTTCACTTTGTGGATGATATTGAAACATTATAATTGGTGAATATTGAGTCTGTTGAATTTTTGAAAGGTAGCATGTGTTATGATTTAATATTTATATTGATAAATTTGAATCTATTTATGGTCAACACCGTTGAGATTATCTGCGACAACAATACTATGTTTAACAGTCAACGATCTGAAACGACTCATAATAAAGTTCTATTCTGAACAAGAACTAATTCAATTCAATCCTAATATAAATTACTCTTCTAGCGTGATTGGATCTTACTGTGAATTATTCTTTCGTGTGCACAATTTATTGTATGCAGTTGTTACAGTCATATGTTTATTTCTTGACTCATCAACATGTGTATACTCATTCCCTGACACATATTCCCTCAATATATACTCCTCTTTCTTCAATGATAAAGTTAGTTCCATCGTTATGGTACTCATTTGTTATTAATATCAAGAAGGCACAGGGACCCCTAACAGTAGTGTATATTGCTTTTCTTTTGCTGATAGCCAAAATTATATACTTTCTCTCTGTATCTAATATTTCCGAATGATTATCGTGTTCAAATATGACCTTTTTCTTCTTGTATTTGACAGATTGCATTGCTTTATTTCTGTTTATTTCATAAAGTATTAAAAAGAAAGCAGTTCTTAAAATTGATTGTGCAAACACACGAATCGGAAGAGTCAATTACATTGTGGCTGGAAATTAAGATCTAGAAGAAGTGTGTTTAGTGGATGAGTTTTTTCCTGTACTTGACGAGGGTGAAATCTGTCCATATCTTACGATATTTATCTATCGAGAAAATATAGTTGTGTTTTAACACGCTCTATCATTTAATTACAAGGACAACACCAATGCGATAATATAAGTGGGTGTAGATGCGTGGGTCCTAGTTTGTGGTAAAAATAAAAGATATCCAAACTCACAAAAGCACCCACACCCAATTGTCTACTCGAGGACAACGCATCTCAATAGTACATTCTGACTGTTAGAAGACGTTAGTACAAAGGCGTGTTGATTTTCATCGAATGACAACAAACGAAATTCAGTATGGCAGACAGGTAAATATAATCGATCTTCAGTGCAAAGCGATGAACCATAATGTAATGAAATTTTTCTCTTGCTAAAATATCACGAACTGGAGTATGATATTTTTTGCTGATTCAGCTCCTTGAATTTATTTATTCATTCATAGACCAATGACCGTGCTAGACTGCTCATTTTCTTGATTACCATCACGATATATGCTCGTATCTAACCATTTGCTGATGTCATATTATAGGATACAGAAATAACTATTTTGACGGCACGTGAGTGTGTGTCAGAATGCGAGTTGGTTCGATGCAATCATGTATATTGATACTTTAATAGTGAAATTTAATTCATTCTCACTAGATAAAGTCTAAGAAAAATAAACTAACATAGATGTAGAATAAGAATAAAGAGTAATTTGTTTCACAAGAACACATACATAATAAAAAGAAAGTTTAATTAGATCATATAATTGTTCGATAGATCTTAGCAAATGCTGCTATTTCTCTCGTAATCCTTCTTATTTTGTAGTCATTTTCATAAGAAATAATAGCTATCAAATCCAAAATCTCAGAATCAAACGTTCTCATTAAAGTTAAAATATGAATAAACGTATCCGATCATCTCTAGACTCAGAATCAATAAATTGTTTTCTCGATGCTGTACAAAATTCAACGTCATAAAACTACATTACCATGCTCAATAAAAATACCACTTCCAGTAGACCTTGAATAGTAATGCCAAGAGCAAGTTTGGTTGCTGGCAACAACCGTTTGCGCCAATCATAGATCTAATCAATTTTTAAGATAAGGATGATCGCAATTATACAAAGTGTTTTGAAGCTAATTTAAAGCCTTTTCTGATAGGAAAAATTTTTTGAATTCCGATGAATAGCAATAGAGCAATGCATGCAATGTTTCAGAAATTATGGTAGCCAAATTGATTCTTTTTCCAGATTTTAGTATGATTAACAAGCTTTGGCTTAGTAGGGATGATTGCTATAGGGATTGACTAAAAATAATTGCTCATCAAGAATCCGACGCATGCAATGTCTATCCAAAGATCAGCCTTTTCATCCTAGGTTTCACTAGCAGGATCATTTCTTCTTTTATTTTTCGTTTAAAAAGAATTGTAGATAGATTCAAACGTCTCAGAATTCATCGTTGAAACTGAAAAATTCTCGAGTACATAATCAGAATTCAAAATGTACTAAAGGAAATTGATTCAAATCGATAGGAATACAACCAGAAAACAATATAGCAGCAGATCAACTATTCTAGTAAACAATAGAGTGTAAGAATGTAGAATCGCTCGAAAAATAATTCAAATAGTAGAAATATGAACAACATTGAGGTAGATCTAGGCATGTTTTTCACATGAAAATTTCCTCATCAATTTCCAAACTCAATTGTCTTACAACCGTTTATATTAATGTTGATTTTTCTGTGCATGTTAATCGAGACAGTACTAATGGTAAAAAAATTAAATCATTTGGTTTGAAACAGACAACATGATCGATTCTCCTTTTTCATATCAGTTTTTCTAATAAAAAAATTTTCATATCGTCATAGAAAAGCACTCATATTAGTTTCGGAAATCCGATCCAATATAAGTGTAGCTAGTTCTTCTACATAAGCAGTACTCCGTCGATTAATGTTGATCGTCTACAAAAAGAAAAATTCTTTTGTTTTTATTAAGAAAACGATAAGAAAATTTGATTGTATTATTGGAAGGCACATTTGATTTTGTTTTTTTGTTTTCTTTCGGCGATAATCGTGTCTCTTCTTAACCTATTTCTACTAATATGACAAGTATAAAAAAAATAATTATCAGTTATTGGTTGTTGACGAACCCGGGAAGTCAATAATGACAAGCACTATGCTAAAGAAGAAAATAGTAATAAAAAAATCTTTTGTTCATAGCTCTCACGAAGTCATCAACTCACCATAAGTCCAACAATGCCGATGATACTTACGCCCGGTCTTAAGAATACCATTGCGTGTTAATAAAAATCTACTACATTTCGGACAAATCATTTGCACTAATGAATATTTTTTCATATGCACACTACACGATTAACAGATTATTGCCGTTGCAATAAGCAAGAAAATAGGCATTGCCGTCATCATCATCATCATCATCATCATCGTCATCATCATCATCATTAGCATCATCATGACAGTGATTGAAGGAAAAGAGAAAGAAAGAATAGTGCAAATGACTGCTATCTCAAGTTCGCTAGTAGAGAGGCCAAAGATGAGACTCTTTCTTCAATTGCTATTTTATTAATGTATCATCTTATCGAACTAATAAACAAATAACGAGTATCAACAACAGTTTTATTTGACAGAGAATAAAATACTCAGAACACAATCATACACTTATTCGTGCTTACAGTGCTTCAGTACTTTGCATTTATTTAAAGAAAAGAATACAAAAATGAATGAATTAATTTATATTCATTTTTATGCTTGATTACACAGAGAAAAACAAGATTTTCATGAAGTAACTTATCCCTACAGTTCGAATATGAATAATGATAACGTCATCACTAGGATATGAAGAAAATCTACGAGAAGATTTCACTCTTAAAAAACATGTCGCATGTGCAAAAATGAAATATTATCAAACGGTTTATCCCTGCGAAATATTTTACCTGTATTTGCTGATGGAAACAACAAAAAGCACAAACCGACATTCATGATACATAAGTAAGCAGAGAATGATTCAAACAGTCGGTTTTACTTTGGTTGTGTTTAAAAATAATAATAGTAAAGCATAGTGACCTCAACGATGATCGATTGATAAAGATCTGATCAGATCTGCAAGTATTTGTTTTTCATTAATATAATAAGATATTAAAAGTTAATTACTTCAATTATATGTTAATTATATTCTTCTTGTTCTTCGGTAGGTGCAAATTATTCATGGTGTATATCTTTATATTTTAAATGCAAAATACGTGAGTACGATCTCAAATGAATCATTTGGCGTCAGATTATGACGAACAAAAAAGTCCAATGGCAATTGTCATTGGTTTTGTAGAACAATAAAGATATATAAGAGTCCGTATTATATAATTACTGAAATTAATAATAACGAATTTTCTTTGTTATTCTACAAATTGCACATTTTATTCGAGATCAAAACTATAAAAAAAAGTGACGTTGGTCAATAAACAAGGATAATTTATCAAGGATTCTGACTTCAAAGAGATGACTGTGACATATCGAAATGCACGGAACAAAAAGAACTCTTTGACTTGCAACTGTTGATAGTAATAAGAAGTCGCAAAAGAGAAATCGGCGAGCAAAGCATAAGGAAAGAGAGGCTTTATAAACCTGATTGCATGCAAAATAACCATCGCAGAATATAAAACGGCAGCGACATCGATAGCCTTCACGTAATATCAATACAGACGCTTTTTTTAAACGAAGATATTTTCCCATGTTAATTTTGTACCCAAATAGTAGGTTAAATAATTGATAAACATTTTATGTTGTTGTGGTTGTTGTTTTATTAAATGTATTAATAATATCTTAGAGACATTCCTTTTTCATAAAAAAACAAAATAGTAACCCGAAATGATTCTATACATAATTTACAATGATTTTCTAGTTCGAGCAATGTGATTAGACTCAAATGTATCGTTTTCTTTTTCTTTTATATTTGCTCTAAAATTTACCGTAGCAGTTCTTATTGGGGACACATATACAACTAGAAAGTG